TATATATATAATCAGTTTCCTATCTGTGGAAGGGAGATGTAGCTCAGTGGTACCAGTGCCTGTCTGGCTAGCACAGAGTCCAAAAAAAAAAGGAAAAAATTTCCCTGAGAAAATTATGATGATGAATGTTGATGAATCAAACACCATTATTTTTTATTTGTGATCTACTTCTATATACTTTCATTCTACCAAAGCTTTATGACTTGTACCTTTTTATTGACTTCCTATTCTTTCTGTTGGACATTGATCTACTAAAGAGATCCACATTGTGGCCATCAGTCTTTCACTGCTTAACTGACCTTGTTTCTATCTTTCATAAAATCAGAAATTAGAGATACATAATTCCCATAGACTAACTTAAATATCCCATGATTACACAAAATTAATAATTTAAGTATTATAGTGGATATCATGAACATGAAGTACTTGACTTAGTTTGAAAACAATTTTTTTAATGTATTTAGTACAAGGTCTACAGGGTCTCACTATGTAGTGATCCTCCTGTTTTCAGCCTTCCAAGTGCAGGGATTATAGGCACGTGCCACCACACCCAGTATTAATCGCTGTCTCAGTGCACCCCGGGGCTGGGGTCAGCATGGCACACTGGGGATCTAACCACGTCTGTGCATCTGCCTAAGCAGGCACTTTAGTCTGCTGAGTTATCTGTCTGGCCCTTGAAAATATTAATACACAAGTCACTTTACGGCATAAGAGGCCATAGTACTAAAGTATAAAAATCTTCATTCTATAAGAAAATAGAAAATGTTCTTAAAACACGAAAAAAAAAAAAAACCCTTCTTAACTTTTAGGGCCAGCCAAATAGCTCAGAGGATTAAAGCACCTGCTTAGACGCAGGGACCAGGAGTTGGATACCAGGGCCTGCTGTGCCAGCCCTGCCCCAGGTTATGTGCTGTGATGACAAATGAGATTGGGTATGGTGGTGTGCACCTGTAATCCCAGCACTCGGGAGGCTGTAAACAGAAGGATCACTTCAAGACTGATCTACGCAGTGAGACCCTGTAGACCCTGTAGACCCAGTCCTAGATGCAAAAAAAGAAAACAAAAAAGAGAGAGAAGAAAGAAAGAAAGAAAGAAAGAAAGAAAGAAAGAAAGAAAGAAGAAGAAGAAAGAAAGAAAGAAAGAAAGAAAGAAAGAAAGAAAGAAAGAAA